AAGTTTACCAGCTGTCGATAGTGACCATGACTACTTGTCAGACCCCTCTAGGCTTTCTTTGTACACACAAGAAGTCATTGCGTACATAGCCGGATTCGTTGTAAAAAAGTTGAAAAAAGTAATTAAATGTGAGGAATGCCTCCTAACTTTAATCTCTAATAAGTATGATGGATTTATTGCCAAAAAAGATAAAGGAGGGTTGATCTATCCATCGAGGAGCGTAATCAAAATATGCGAACGTGCTGAAAAAATATTTAGATTGCGTTCACATGAAGGTATCAGCTTTTACAATGAGAAAAACTTAATGCAGAAATTAATACTTTCATGTTTTAAGGACTGTTTAAATGACATTTATATATTTGAAAAACTTCACAATAATGATGACCAAACACTGATTGGAAATCATAGAATAATGCTTTTGAAAGCAGTCGCCATGAATTACTTTGAAGTAAGGATTCACTATAGTACCAAACAGTTTTTTGCACCCAGCGATAGGATTCGTAATATACATAATAAACTAGTGTTATTCAAAGGGCAATAAATGATTCTCTCTGTTCTCTGTGATCTTGTAGAGTATGTTTACATTAATAAAAATGTTGATTGTGATTCAGGTAATGTTTTTATTTTGGACCCTTGATTTGTTGTAGCTTTCGAGGATATAAATTTTAAGAGCGTTGATAATTATAATGAACCATTGATAAAAATGTACCATCGATCTCGTAATCCGATCGTATAACGAGCCTTTTAACTACCTACTCGGCTTGATAACTACCTAGAAGAATATTTATATATATTTCAATCGAATATAGTATAATATATATATATTACTAGCTGCGCCCTGCGGTTTCAACCGCATAAGTGTCGATCGCGTAAGAATATCGGGATAAAAAGTCTATATGTTAATCCAGGGTGTCAGATACCTCCATACAAAATTTTATCAAAATTGGTCCAGCCGTTTGAGCGTGAAGAAGTAACAAACATATAAACACACACGAACACTAATAAACTTTCGCCTTTATAATATTCATGTGATTATTTTATCGCTCCACGCCACGTTCTATTCCTAATCTGTGCTCCGCTCCGTGTTGGAACTGCGTGGTACTTAAATCTCCTTGTTTCTGGGTAAAGGGTAAGGTTTATGGTATCACTGAGTTCTATAAATACATTATGGATATGTTAGTTTTTTGTCTCGTGTGTGGCCACGCTATCCCATCCTCTATAGCTTTCTTACTCTAAGCGTTGCGTCAACGATATTAGCTTTTAAAATGCGATTCAACCAAAGAGTATTATATATTCAATTTTTTTTTAGTTAAGTTCTCCCTTTTTAGGGTAGGCAAGGGGAACAATGCCCATACAGCCTAGTCTTAAGTTAAATTATTCTGTTTTTCTTTTTACATTAGAATGTCGGTGTAACGCATTCTAATGTTTCTTGAAGTGTTTGGCACGAAATGTATCGAGCTGGCTTTTTCGATAAGCTTCTGTGAGGTAGTCAATACTACAATAAAATTCTCACGTCCACTTGACCGGAATAGCGTATATTTTGACGATTCTACTAATTCTTCAGTTACGCAGACAGTTGTAACACAAAATCACACCAATTTTATTTCACAATATCCACTATGAACGAATTTAAGAATAATTAAAATAAGACGCCAACCACACTCGATGAAATCCCGCCAAAAAAAAACGCCTGGATTCAACTAAGAATAGGATCGACGGGGCGCCATATTGTGACGTCATAGCAGTAGCAAACGAAAAAGGTAGAGTGAGCAAAAAAGCTTTTATTTAATAAAAGTTATTTACTTTAATTGAGAAAAGAAAATAACCGATTTTTAATAATATTTATTTATTATGACTATGCGAGAAAAAACATTCATCAGAATTAAGCTCTTCAATTCCGCTCATCTCGGCATTACCGCTGGAGTAGTTATGAATAATCATGTACTATTACTAGGTCACATACGAACATGCATTCTATATGTAAACCAAAGTTTTAAATCGAGTTTCTAAACGCAACTTGAAGTGACATTTGGTTGACGATTTAGGTTATCAAACATTCATAGCCAAAGCTCAATAAATGAAAATAAAATATCAACCAATATTAATTAACAATATTTGTTATTGTTTGTTTACAAATGTTTCGTTTTTATTCCATAATTAGCAGAGTGCCAAAAAAGAGTTCCAAGATTTTATTGCAAGCCGTACTTTTCAAGCGACATTTGACAGATGGAGGTCATTGGCTTTCCTATTCTTATTTGAATCGCATTATACAATGGGGCGTACAACTCCTTCATATCATTGTGTCAAAAAAATGTTTTTTTCCATGGGTGTTTTGATTGTATGAAAATGGTGATTTGTCCGGACTTTTATTTTAAAGTATCATCAGTATAAAATTGTAGGCTGTCAAGATACAATTTTACTACATAAGGAGGCACTAAAAGATGTACTCAATGGCCGACGATTTTACGGGCTTCGGGCTGGGAGACCCCTCCACCCACCCTTTCAGTCAAAAGTCAAGATAGAAATTATTATTTATTCTATTCATTCCATTTTAAATATAAATTGGCTGTATAAGCTAAAAGGCAGAGCCTTACATAGTGTCAGGTTTATCCCACCAAAAACATTCTGTAAAAAAATAGCCAAGTCTTGATGGAGCTGCTTGTTTATCTCTAAAAAGAAATGAAATCTAGACACAGTCGTGCCAAGTCTCTTTTTTATTATTATTGTTAATGTTGTGTGACTTGACGTTGAAGGGTACACAAGGGTACAAAACCAGGTGCTACATGACACCATTGCACCAATCTGTCGCCAGAACCGCTACCCATGGACGATGGAAAATTGCCACTTGGAAAACGTTGATTGAATAACCAGTCAATTGTAGGCTTGATGAAGTTGCGTTTACAAGTAATGTTGTATGTATGAATGTATCGGTGCAATGGTGTCATGTAGCACCTGGTACCCTTGTGTACCCTTCAACGTCAAGTCACACAACATTAACAATAATAATAAAGAAATCGCAGTAAGTAACTTTAGACTTGGCACGACTTTGTCTAGATTTCATTACTTTTTAGAGATAAACAAGCAGCTCCATCGAGACTTGGCTAATTTTTTACAGAATGTTTGTGGTGGGATTTTACTTCTTTTTGTAGGAACGTGGTCATATTGATTTATTTTAGTCTTTTAGATTTTCTTATTTGACACATTTTCTTTTTTTAGGAGTAGTCTTTTTATTATTACAAATCCGATTCTGATTCTTGAACAGTAGCAACAGTTATTCGTATTGCAATAAATAACCTACAGAAATTTTGGATTTTAAGTATGTTATTATAGCTTACTGGATGACGAAAATTTCTGCGTTCTGGTCTTATCCAGAGGTTCTCAAATAGGGTCCTGAAAATGCGGCGAAATGGTTCCAGTAAAGGATGGTACGGCAGTGTTTGCTTCGCGCTCGACTTGGCGGGGGCACTGCCGTGCCCCCCAATTAAGAATAGCTGTCAATACGTTCTGTCACTTCCTTAGCAATGATTTTGTAACTCATATAACGTGATTTTTCTAGTCTTTTAATTTAATAATAATCTCGTAAAATGTAAAGCATTTTCGTATTTATTCTGAAAATAAATTGTCTTAAAATGTCATAGCGCGTTTTTTTACTCGGGTGTGCAATGCAAGAGCGCGAAGCGCGACGCGCAGACTGGTTACCCGACTGCGCAATGCAAGAGCGCGAAGCGCGACGCGCAGACTGGGTATAGTCTTTAACAGTCTATATATGTATGTTTGTTCCTTTGTGGCACACTAGAGACCAAACGCCTGGACCGATTTTGATGATTCATACATCAATCGATTCGTCTCAATCATGGGAGTGCTACTAAAGATATGATAGTAATCAGAATTCAATTTGGGCAAAATCAGGCGCCATATTGTGACGAAGTAAAAAAAATAAGTTGGCAAAATATGTCGAGTGGGATATTACTGTCTAGATAATCGAAAATCATGTTTAGGTTCCTAACACCATTTTTCATTTTAAATGATTGTTTAGGATCTACAACGCTTTAAAGTTGTATATTAACCACTTGCGCTTTTAATTTCAATCTTAAGTTTGTATGGATCTTTGTTACTCTTTCACCTAAAAAATACTGAATGGATTTTAATGAAACTTAACAGTAATATAGCTTATATATAATAATAACATAATATATAATGGGTCATTCTACTTTTGAAGAAAGATAAATTTTAAAATAAAAATCTCGTTATCCTTGAATTCTTTTGGGTTTATTGTATTAATCAACGGAAACAATAAACATTATAATTAGAAACAGAGATCGTTTCTCAGTAATTTCCGAGAAAATGACGAAAATTAAAAATAAGTGGCTAACAGATATGACGTTATTCTGTATTTTTAGTTTTAAACAACAATTAAATTAAATAATTATACGTTTAAAGTATAGATTCAAAAGGCATATTAATCAAAATTAAATATAATTGAAATCAGATGGAAGTATCAAAACGTACAAAAGAAAAATATTTTTATCACGGAAATGACGTCACAGCCGTTATCATTTAACTGTGCGAAACTTATTAGCAATAAAAATCCTCTTTTTATTAGTTTCTTAGCTCTCCTTAATCGTATTAAAATCCCTATGGATAAATGAATATATCTCAAATCAACAATTAATCAAGAAATTCAAACAAATAATGTATGAAATCAACATAATAATATACACAAATGTAATTTTTGAGATCAGCGTAGAAAAAATTAAAATATATTTTCATCAGATGAATTGGATGACTCGATACGCATGGAATGTTTCTTTTTATTTTGTTTTTTCTCAAATGTTGAAGCATTTATTGTTGCATCTATAAACTGTTTCCTCTTTAAGTCTCTAGCGAAGCTGTCATCTGAAGAGCATGATTTGTAATAGAAGTTTCTGCTTCGTTCTGATAAAACTGCTACCGTTACAGGTTGATTTTCATCATCTGAATCGTCAAACCATTTCGGATTTTTACCATCGGCATTTGTAGTATAGACACTTTTCTGTGGGGACTGATGGCAGCAGTATTAGCGATACTGCTGATTCTGATTGTGATTCCAGTGTGACTCTTTGCTGTACTGTAAACGAATATATTGCAGGAGAACGGCGTTCTGGTGACGAATGACATGAATCGTAATCTGTAACTGTACACTCACTGTGTGGGGGTGATGAAGGAAGAACTTCCTTAGTATTACGGGGTGGGGAAGGAATACTACTTTCGAATCTGTTATGAACAGTCTCCGTGCTAATCACACCTATTTCATAATGAGGACAGATTTGATGGGGACGGCAATCCATACAACTTAACTTTTGAGCGCGAAGAAGTCCTGGGTTATTTTTACTCCTAGTTATTTGATGCACATTCAGTGTGCCTTTAAATGTAGGAGTCAAACTTCTTGCCATCAACTCCTCTATTTCCGTAATGTTTTCTTCATCAACTGAAAGGATTTGGACACCTCTGCAATTTTCATACAAACACGTGATAAGTTGCTCAAAGTTAGCTATATCATTACCCCTAGCTACTGATTGGTCTGCGATTCTTTTTACTATTGCACCAATTCCGTCAGGTGAATCTTTGCCGTGGCCAGCTTCATTATAGTCCCATACAAGGCTTTGAACATTTAATTTTACTGCTAGGAAATTAGCCATTAAGAAAAACATGGATTTATTTCTATATTGAGAAGATGGTCCATCGCTGACAAAATGCATTGTTTTTAGGTTAGGATGTAAATCCTTAATAATTTTAATTATTGGTTTTAAATTATTGCATATAAAAACCGGGTCATGTCTTAGATTTTTAGAGACAGTGCAAAATGGAGTTATGGTGGAATCTAATTCGCCAAAATGGTAAAGTACAGCCGTGTGAAGAGATATTTGTGGTTTGGAAGCTCCAAAATGTACTGCTTGGACCTCTTCTGCATATTTGCTAACATAGTTTTCAGCGAAATCAATGTGTAACATGGCTGTTTCATCATCAACCTGCCTCTTGACACTATTTATTGCTTGGTATTGATGGTAAATATTATTTAAATGATTCATAAAATTTGGTAATTTAGACTGCAATGGATAGCTAAATCCTTTTTAGGACTTAAAATATTTTCTTTTATAGTTTTTTGGCATAGTTTTTCCTCTCCTTTAATGGAAACTGGTATTTTTTTAGTAACTCATCGAAAATATGGTATGGGGTCATTATTTTGAATGATATTGAACTGTACTTTCTTTTTTTGACAAACTTTACATTTTCTAAGCAGACATTCTTCTCTTAATTTTCCTTCACAGCAAATTGTCTTCACGAGTGCTACAGGCGTGCGTTCATTAATGACTTTTGCTGTTTTCAAGGCTGTGGTAATAAGTTCCATATTAGTATGATGGATACATAAACACGTATCTCTTTGTCTTATTGTTGGAGAAACAATCCAAAAAGGACGATAGCGACAAAAGAGCGAATATGAAATTTTATTGTTCACTGTATTTTTAAATTTGCCATATAAAGTCAAAAGTGAATCATTTAATAATCTAATTTGATTTTTTATTTTTTTTCTTGTCATTGTTTCCTTCTTTCCTGCTGTTAACCTACTACATTCATCTTTCTCTAGAAACTCTTGAATCTGCTTTTATGTATCATTTATTTTACGTTTTTACTTATTTATTATTGCTTCACTTTTTTGTTTGTTTATTTTAACTACAGCTCTGTTACAACGCATTTTGTATTTTTTTCACTCTGTTTTCCATTATACGCAGTTTTTCTTTTAGTAACACGTTTTCTAATTTCAAACGCCTTCTATTCTTTTCCCCTGTTCTCTTGCCTGATTCAACTCTAGATCGGGAACTAGAAGGTATTGGACTATCTGGTGGAATTTCATTCTTTATAAATTCTTCGGCCTGTTTATGTACTTGTTCCATGGACTTTTTCTTATCACGATATCTTTTTGATCATTCTTTCCACAGCTTTCTCACTGTTCTCTTAGCTCGAGGCGTTAACTCAGAAATGCTCTTTATCAATCCCTGTTCTTTTCTTCGCGTATACCTTTCACGGTCTTTTTTTCTTTTCTTCTGTTCTTCTTCTTTCTTTTCTGTTCTTCTGTCATCTTTTGTCGGTGTCGTCTCATAGCAAGCTCTACTTGTTCTTTACGAATTTCACTTGTTTTGGCCCCATTATTTTCTTTCGTTTGTCGAGTGCGACGATTCATACTGCAGCTAAAAATAAAACTGTTAAATTCAGTGATCCCACAATCACTTCTGTTAAAGAAATGTCTTTCTATGTAAGTTAACGTTTTATGAAGAAAACAAAGAATATAATAATTTTTAATTTGTGTATTGATTAATTAGAGCAGCCAGAGTTAAACATAATGAATATAAAAGAAACATTATCATTTCTGTTATCTTATATCATTTCTGTTATCACTATGATAACAGAACGTGACGATCACAGAAATGATAAAATTTAGAAATACCCGCTTCGTTGTATTCAAAGTTAAGAGTAAAGTTGTTGACTCTTAGGTATATTAAAACAAACAGTGAAATAGATTCTGCCCGCATATTATAGTATTGGATTTTGATAAACTTACCTCTCTGCAGCCTCAACAGAGATGATACACCAACTTTTACACAGTAATAATTACTAACAAAATGGTTTTTATCACAAAACTAACGATAGCACTTTTTACTTTGAAGCCGCTCCGTAAATGACAGGTAATGTAGTGTTGTCACTGCATACAAAAAAATACCTATAAGAAGAATGTTACTAGCGTTTCATTACAAAATACTCTTGGATCATGAAGTTTGTAACTTGTAACAAGTACAGAAAATTGTAACAAGAGTAGAATCGCGTAAAATGTATTGTAAGATTGCACTAACCTACTCGTATATATTGTTAGTAATATCATAAACAAGATTATTTTAATACAATATTTGCGATATTAACAACATCCTAAACTCGCACATTATATTTTTCTTTGTTACCTTAATGTGGGAACATGTGAAATACACAGATAACAGAACGTGATATACGCACTATTAATTTTATTTTTAAGAATTATTTTTTAATTTAATACCGTTTATTAAATAAACAGATGATAAAGAGCATCGTTTTCATTTATGAAAGTAAAAAAAAACCAGGATGTTAATTTATCTTTGTATTTTTTTTGACTGCACACTTTTTTAGCAGTAGAATAGAATGACCCTATTAATTTAGCGAATTGGCCAAAATATAACAATAAGTGTCACATAAGACGGAAAAAAATCTCCCATCTGCGAGCCATTTTGGCCTGCACTGCAAAAACAATAAAAGTTACATGAATATAATGCAGAGTGAAAATGTATCTCTTAAATAGTTCTAAAAAAAAGTCCGCGACACCATATATCTATTTTGAATGTGTAAGCCATTACCGTTAAAATAGTGAATCAAAACTAAAATATTATTTGATATCGGGTTTGATTTGATTTGGGTTAGATGGCGCTGCTATCTGAGTAAACATCGGCTCCGTATATAATAATTGAAAAAAATATCTATTTTAAATTAATAAGTTTACAAAAGTGATCATTAAGTAAAACATCGACTGATTAACGAGAACTATTGTTTGTGAAAGTATAAATGAACAATTTCGATGAAAAAAGTGGAATAAGTGCACCAGTGAAATTTATCATTAAAGCATTATAAACAGTATAAATAATTAGAATCTAATGCAAAAAAAATATAGTGTGATCACAATAAATTGATAATCGAGTGCAAATATTGAAGGAATAATAAAAAACAGTGAATTTTATAACAAAAACAGAAAGTGATAACCGTTTATTGTTCAAAACACCAAACTGTAATCTAATTGGTTAACACGATTTATGCAGCTCATATATGTTAAATAATTTTGTCGATATCGTCATGAGCTGTTTGGTTCAACGCCGCTTAGGTCGCTGCTTCACGGGTAGATCTTGAGTTCAAATCCCAAGTCACAAATATCTTTTTATCTGGCCAGAGGAAATATTTCTTGTGAATTTATTCTAATCTAATAAAATACTACTGCTAACAGCGACATCTGACGGAAAGTATAAAAATTGAAAAAAGTTGCCTGTACAAATTCCGAGACATCGGTATCCATTTCTAATACATACTTTATCATAATTACACTGCGAGAGAGGGCGTTGGTCTGCAATAATAACAGAAAACAACTGTGACTACAAGATGCAGTGTGCTGGGTGTAGACAGATTATACCGGATAGAAGGTTTATAAAATGTTCTTTGTGTAATGAAAATTACGACTTAGATTGCGCAAATATATCAGAGAAGCGATTCTACAATACAATGACAATAGACCACAAAAAGACCTGGAGATGTCAAGTTTGTATATGTAAAATGCCTAAAAACAATAAAGATAGCACCCCAGTAAGAGCTACTACACAGGACCGTACAGAGACTATTACTTTGTCGCCTTCTGAATTAAATATAACTCAGAGGTATAAAATAAAAAATAAACCATTAATAGAGCAGTCCTTCAATGAAAATGACATGTCAATAGATGAAATATCGGGACACACACAGCTGAATGAAACAAATCCCCAAAAAAGTGATTTAACTTTAGAAAATATAAGTTTATTGCTAGATAAAAAGCTTGAGAAAATGAAAATCGCTATATTACAGGAAGTTAAAAATACAATATATGTAGAAGTAAATAAGATAATAACAGGATTACAAAATGACGTAGAACAGACAAAAGTTGAACAAAAACAAATTACAGAAAACTTGAAACGTATAGACATTAAAATTAACAATATCGAAAAACAACTAAGAAATCTAGATAACAACAAAAAAATTGTACTATATGGCTTGCCAGAGAATGACAGCGAATCTAAAATCGACTTAAACAACAGCGTCTGCCGTGCTATCTATGAGATCATGAATATTAGTATAGATCCATATGTAGAAGATATGAAACGTATAGGAAAACATGGAAAAAAAAGACCAGTGGCAATTGAATTCATAAGCAAACGAATGACTAAATTTATGTTAGATAATTCTAGACGTCTAAAGAGCACCGGATTGACTATCACACAATTCTTAACGGGAGAAACTTTGCATGAACGTAACGAGCTAAAAAATCAATTACAAATAGCGCGGAAAAGAGGAGATCACGCAATTATCAAGTATAATAAATTATTTATTAACGGTAAAGAATTTATAGCAGATGTAGATCAAGTTGCTGAAAAGTTCACACAGAAGAGTGACAGGATGCGTTCGCCGATTTGCGCTCAGACAACATCACAACAACAGAGTGCAGAAAAGCCGACATCATCGGGAAATAAACTTAAATTCCAAGAAAGTGCTAAAGAAAAATCTATTAAAACATTTCGTTAAGCCCAATGAAAATGGCGGTGATATCCCTTTTACCATAACTTATCAAAATATACAAAGTATTGGAAATAAAGTTGATTTGGTTGAACAATTACTGCTAGAGTATAGGATAGATGTACTGTGCTTGTCAGAGTTATGGAGGCATGAAGATTTCTGTGAATCCATCTTGATACCGGGATACAAGCTTGCGTCCCGATTTTGCAGGAAACATCATGAAGGTGGCGGAGTCGGAATTTTTATAATAGAAAATATAGAGTTTATAGAGAGGGTGGACATTGTTAATTTTTCTGTAGAATTTGTAATTGAACTATGTGCCCTTGAGATTCCAGATTTGAATTGTCTTATCATAATTATATATAGAGCGGATCGCCACATTCATATATTTTTTGAACAAATGGTAAAATTGTTGAGCAAATTAAATTTAAAAGAATCGTCTAAGCACATTTTGATCGGTGGAGATTTTAATATTAACACATTAAGCAAAAATAAAAATGCAACAGATTTAAATAACCTAATGTTATCACATAATTTTTACCAGCAGATAAATGAACCAACTCGCGTTACTAAAACAACAAGCTCTTGTATTGACTTGCTCTTTTCAAATCGAAAAGACGCAGTTAAAAATTGTTATGTTAAAGATTACGGAATATCAGACCACAGATCTATTAACATAACTTTAAAAACTTTTAATAAAAATAATATTATAAATAATTGGAAAGTAAAGAAAAGATTTTTTTCAAAACCAAATATATCTAACTTTAAAGATTCATTAGTAAAAATAGATTGGGACATATACTTAAAAAATACAAAAACAGTAAATGAAAATTACGAGTCTTTTATTAATATAATAATTTCATTATTAAATGAGCACATTCCAGAACAAATTATATTTATTAAAAATAAAATCATGAAAGGATGGCTTACACCAAGCATAAAAATATCTTGTAAACATAAAAGAATATTACGAATAATTTTGAATGAAACTAATAGTAACGTTATAAGAAAATATTACAAACTATATTCAAAAACTCTAAAACGTAGCATTCAAATATCAAAAAAGAAACAGTTTATATCACAAATGTCAAATTCAGAAAATAAAACAAAAACTATGTGGAAAATTATAAATAATAAAACCGGTAAAACTAAAGATAATAGACATAAAAACATAACCCTAAAAATAAAAGATAAAAAAATAGTATGTCCAAAAACCATATGTAATCTATTTAATAAATATTTTACGAGTATAGGCGAAAACTTATCTAATGCTTCTAATAATTTAAATACATTGCCAACAGCTTGCTCGACAATAAATTCTATTTATCTTAGTCCAGTAGATAGCAAAGAAATTAATAAAATAATAAAATCAATGAAAAACAAATATAGCTGTGGCATGGATGGCATACCCCCTGTATTGATTAAACAATGCGCAGAAACACTTTCGTCACCATTGAGTTTTTTAATAAATCAAAGCTTTGCCGTTGGCTCCTTTCCTGACCAATTAAAAATGTCAATTGTAAAACCCCTTTACAAAAAAGGAGACAAAACCAACCTTAACAATTATAGGCCAATAGCCCTATTACCCGCGTTCTCCAAGGTCTATGAAAAAGCAATGCTCATTCGCTTAAACAATTTTTTTGAAAAGCAAAAGATATTGGATGATTGCCAAAATGGTTTCCGAAAATCTAAATCCACCACTACCGCAGTGTTTAAATTCATTCAAATGGCCATTCAACATGTCAATGATAAAGCATATTCTATAGGTTTGTTACTTGATATGACAAAGGCATACGATAGGGTGTCGTACAGTATATTGCTTCAGAAACTATATAATTCAGGTATACGAGGTCCGGCGTACCTTTGGTTTCAGTCTTACCTCAACAGTAGGAAACAAATCGTGGAAATCCTGCATCATGATATGGATACAACTGTAATCCAAACAATACAGTCGGAGATCATGGATTTAACGTGCTCTATACCACAAGGGACCGTTTTAGGATGTATGCTATTCTTAGCCTACATAAACGACTTACCTAAATTTTTGATTAGCGAATCTGTACAACCTGTACTTTTTGCCGACGATATATCAATTTTAATAAAAAGTAATAGTGTTGGTAATATGAGTCAAATAACAAACGAAACCCTGGAATTAGTAACGCTTTGGTTACAAAATCATAATTTAGAAATTAATAACGAAAAAACTAAAATTATGGAGTTTAGATCATACGGGAAGCCTCCTTTAAATTTAAAAATTAATTATCGAAACGCAGATCTCGAAACTGTAGAATCGTTTAATTTGCTCGGTATGACCATTGACACGCACTTAAATTGGAAGTCCCACGTAGA